TGACGTCCAGTAGGACTGTATTAGATATTTTGATTGGACGCTAGTAACTAGTGTGATGTGTGTAGTCCTAGAATGGTGGCCACATTTAATGATAATGATAATAATAATTTGCTTTATTCCAAAACAGTACTTCTGATACAAAATGGAATTCTCAGCATTTTTACTACAGTATTGCATCCACTTAGTGCATTATCAATAAATAGAATTCGACATAGATTAAGGAAATCTCAGTTCATTATGACAACAGCATATTGGCATGTCGGTAGCAAAGCCAAAGTTGAACAGTGTTTGAAGGTGTTAGAAAAGTAGGTGCTATCATATTTATTGGTGTAAGCGGAAGAAAGAAACAAGCAGCACATAACGGAAAAAAGGAGTGAGAGAGAGAAAAGGAAAAGAAAGAAAGAAAATGTTATACCTATAAATGATATGAGTTGGGAAGACGAGATCCAATTGTTCTACTGACTATTTAATGAATTATAGGTGTCACGTCTAATGCTTTCTTTATCACACAGAACACGAGCTAAGTAGGGTATGGTTGAGTTTTTGTACTTGCTGGTGCTGACTGACAGAATTCAGTCTGCACCAAAGAAAGGACTAGACACATCACACTAGTTGCTGACTAGTGTCCAATCAAAAATATTCAATACACTCCTACAGGGGGTCAGTCGCGAGCCAGCCCGAATAACTCAGTGATAGTGAACCACCTAAAACGGTGAACACATTGCAAACTTGACTGACAGAATTAAGTCTGCATAAAACAAAGTACTAGGCAGATTAAACTAGCTGGTAACTAGTATCCAATCAAAAATAACACCAATCTGTAGAACAGCTACCATCTAATGTTCACTGATCATATGGACTTCTGACCGAAAAGCTTCACAAGACAAATGACATTCTAGATGGTGACAATAGACAGTTGGCATCTAATACCGTCGTATTATTCCAGAATATATACACCTCAATTCCCACTCAATACCTGGACGGTTACACAATGAAGTGCCTAATCGCCGGTTCCCGACTGGACCTCCGTTTGCACATACGCCCAGTTAACATATTCCTTGTACGCTTCAGTCCTGAGGGGGTCTTTCTCGCTCTCCATTTTATATAGGCAAACTGCAGCCCCAGATTATCCTATAAATTTCTATAAAATTACGCATTTCGGATAAGATCAATAAACTTTGAAATCTACTAATTTTGACTGACTGTTTTAAAAACAGAAATCGTATTGATTTTGGCAAGTTTAGACACGTATGCATGGTAAGAGTTATAGATTTGAGAAATATCATACACGCCGAAATATAGATATGTTCGGTTGGAGACAAATTTTGGTTTTGTTATCGAATTGGAAACAAAAGTCTATTTGCATGTGCGTGTGTGTGTGTGAGCAGACTGTTTGTGTTAGGCAACTGGTAGTGTTAATAGAGTGAAAGAAAACTGTTTATGACATCCGTAATGGAAGGGTTGGAACAGCAGCTGTAAACATCAGGTGTATTTGTCTTATTAAGGACAAAATGTAGAAATGTTCCTAACTGGATTGTAGAGTTAAAGGCTTTACCGTTGTGTATACCTTTGAACTGTATGCTCTTGTGAAGCAGAGTACATTGTCCGTAGCTGGAGAACGCTTTCCATACGGATACGAGATCATATTCCAGCATGTTTTAACAAGGTAGAAAGGAAGGGTGTGAGAATCCGTATTCTAGATTACTTGATCAACCTCTGTCATTTTACCAACCCTGACCATGATTTTAAGGTCATCTACCGAATTCATGCTACCTTGTTGACTGCGATTTCTTCGTTGTAAACTTCTAAAGACAGCCGAGGACTTGGCCATTCGTGAATTTAAGCCAAACGTTTGGTGTTTACAAAAGAAGTATGTATAATCCCTATTTCTACCTTGACCGTAGAGAGAAAAACATTTATTTATTTATTTTGCTTATTTAGTTAATCTATAAACCCTTCCTTCATTATTCCGATTATTATCGTAACTATTATTACTCTCACTCTGAACTATTTCCGGTATTACTTCACTTGTTTCATATGTCATTCTAAAACCAAAATTTTTTAGCAATGTTGAATTCTGTCGTATCAAATTCTATACCATACTATGCAACATTTTATGTTTGCCTATTAGTCCGGTAATTAAACTTCAGGTGAACACACAGAAAACAGAGGCAGGTGATGAGGATTCATGGCCAACAGCAACAGCAGCGACATCAACAACAGACAATAATCAACATAAATGGGAGAAATCTGAAAGAAGCAACCTCCTTTACCTAACTACTTAACTACCTACCAGGGAAGCATCGTTTCAACTACAGGCGGATGGAACTAATGATGGGGAAAGCAAGGCAAGCTTTCATCACACTAATCAAGTCTGTGTGAAGATCAACAGCACTGGTCAGCATGACTCCAATGTGAAGTCAGTGCTACTTACTATACGGATCAGTGACTTGGCGATGCATCACGAAGGACACTTCGAACAAACTACAGACCTTCATCAACAGCTGTCTTCGCTCAATACCAGTCAAAATCAGTTGGTCAGAAAAGATCAGCAACAGGGACCTCTGGAAATGAGCAAACCAACCAACCCAGCGGGAGCTGATTGTGCAACAATTATGCAGGAAGAAATGAAGATGAATCGACCATACTCTGACATCACAAGCCAGGCCATTACTCGAGTGGAACTCGAATGGGAAGCGGCGAGTTAGTCGTCAGTGTGAGGGTGACAGAGTGGAGGAGGTGATGCGAGAAGGAGATGAAAGCATGTGGGCAGAAGTGGAGCCAGGTGAAAACGTTGGTGGAGAACCGAAAGCAGTGGAGACGTACAGCTAAAGCCTTATGTTCCTCAAGGAACTAAACGAAACAATGATAATAATAATAATCTTATAATTGCACTCTCCCTTCCAGCATCTATATGTTCTATGAATTATTCTACACATGACATTAATTGCTTTGCTACTTGACACTTGATATTTCACTATGATTATATACACAAATATTTAATTACATTCGATACTATCATTATTATTTTATGTATTCACACCTTTGTTTAAATTTCCTCACGAGATATAATTTCTTAATATAAAGAAGTTACAGACGTTACTAGGCATGTTGCTAGGCTACTTAATCACACTGAGTTATTAATGATCTCGATTTCGCCGGATTTCAGCGTCTATTTCAAAGAACAGTCGGTCATAACTTTATCAGTGGTCAGTGTCGCGGTGGCACAAATGAGGATTTCACAGATAGCTAGGTTCAGAAAAGCAATATAGGCCTTCATTCATCTGAAAACAGTGTGAAAATCTGCAGTCCTCAATTTAAATTACAAGGTCCGAATTTCCAGTTAGTTCTTTAACATGGCTTAGAGACTTCGGGCATCACGAAAAGTATTTCTAATAGCCAGCTGCAGACTTCCGTCAGTACGTTCCCCTTTCTCCACACTGAAAATCAGATGGCTGAACTGAAGGGATAAGCAACACCACCACGGAACTCTGCAAACAAATCAGCCAAGAACTTATAGTTCTAGAAATAAGAAGTGGGAAATGAATACGGTTTCAAAATACTCAGTGGATAGTTTTTGTGTAATATCACCTGTTAAACCGTCGAGTGGAATCTGAATATTAGATGACAGTTAAGACATCTGAGGGTAATTTGAAGGGGATCAATTGGGGGAGGAAATGAAAGCTTGTGTTGGATATTGTGAAACCATGGTAAAAGACTTCAGTAAAGAGACCAGGAATTTACTGCCGAAGTCAAGGGACTCATATTAGTAATAATAATAATATATAATCTTGGTTTCTGGTTTTAGAATAGTAATCAAACATTGCAAATAGCTGACACATTCATATTAAAATTTTCATAAACCTCTGTCGTCATATACTACTAATTATGAGATATCAAGCACTATAAAAGTAGTAAAGTGCGTCGGTGGCACAGTGGTTAGGACTCTCGCCGACCATACACATGGTCCGAGGTTCGATCCCCTGCCGGCGCACACCCGATATCTATGGTCGGCCTGAATTTGGGCTACCGATATCCATGCTGAAAATTCCATACTTGTACTGAAAATACGGTGTGGAATCAAGCTGTGAATCAAAAAAAAAGAAAATAAATAGTACATCATAGGAACACGCTGGACAGATAAAAAGACTCTAGAAGATTTGAGTTTCGCGGAGAATTTACGTCTAATGACACACAAACTCGAGGACATACAGGTGAAAACCAGCAAACTGTCAGAAGGAGTAGAAAAGACACGACACAGCGAAGACGGAGGTGATGAAGATAACCAACCATGCAACAGCAACAAACAGCGCCAACCACCATCAACGGGAGAAATCTTAAAGCGGCCATTTCCTTCATCTATCTAGGAAGAATCATTTTAACCACAGGTGGATGGTGCAGATGAAGATATCGAAGCCAGAATCAGAAAGGCAAGAAAAACGAATGAGTTCTAGAATCTTCTGCTTTCAGTAAAAACAACAAAATTCAGATTTTCAACACCAACTGTACGTCAGTCAGTGCTTCTAAATGGATTGAAAACTTGACGAGTGCGTCACAAAAGGCATTTCCTACAGGCTCCTGCAGGCTGCCATCTTCACTGGCTTATTCCATACTGAAGATCAAGTGGCGAGTCATCCAGAATGAATTAACAACCAATAACCGACTGCCAAACAAATATTCCTGAGAAAATTGATATCGATCGGGCAGACGCTGAGGAGGCCATTAAATGATATCACACGTTAACCAGGCAATCGGTAGAGTGGAACCCAAATGAGAAAAAAAGAATTAGTCGTCCAAGGGTGACATGAAGACAACAGTGAGAGTAGAAGATAACAGACTACGGACTGAAGAAAACAGCACAAAATGGAGACGTTCTGTTGAAGCCCTGTATTTCAGTCGGAACCCAAGGGAACAATGATATAATATAATAATCAAGAAATCAATAATCACATTTAACCACCATTATGATGAATATATAAACGAAATCAAAATGAACTAACCTGTAATTTTATTTGGATCATCAATCTCCGAATCTGAAGTATGCGCTGTTTCACTCATATTTTTTCTCTCCTCACTTTTGTATTACATAATGATAATTTGAAAGGAAATCAGAAAGTGTACAAGATAAAAGTGTTATAGAAAACTCCTTAATACGCAAGGACGAAACTGTCAACGAAATCTGTGCCAGAAAGAAAACTTCGTTCTCTTTTTTATTTGTAACGAAGAAGACTGATGTTTATAATTCAACTATGAAATATCCGTGTGTGTGTGCGTGTGCGCGCGCGCAAAGGGCGTGGGTGTATTTGTGTGGGCGTACTTAAAGTCAGCGAAAACGAAAATGCACAGTGAGCCTCCGATCTCTTTTTGTCTTTTTTGAAAGAAATATATGCTTGAGAATGAATATTAAACGATCCTTTCTATTATAGAGTATTTATATGGTGTGTATTCATATATCTGTGTGTAACAGTGGTATTCACGGCCGCTTCGATCAATCAGCGTAAACCAAGTCATATGCAATTTAGCTTTGAACAAAAAGAGTACACACAGCAGATAGATAGACAGAAATGGACAGAACCTCTGTGTGTGTGCGTGTGTGTGTGTGCGTTTCTCCACATATCTATATTAAAAGTTGATCTAAATGGTGAAATTATACAATAATTAGAAAAGAAGGTGAACAGGTTAAAAACCAATAGCCAATCAGATTGCTTGTGCTGGCACACTGTTATCTGATTGGTTAATAATTGTGCTATTGGAATTTGATATAAAATTGGCATTTTATAATATTTCTATTTATTATCAGAATGAATACGGGATGGTGGATGAGTGAATTCATTGCACTGGCTTCCAGTTGTAAGGTACTTCAAAGTCTGATATGAGATTGTTGGAGGCTGTCGGTGGGAACTCCTGGACAAGGTTGAGTGCTTGCTAGCACTCTGCATCTCGCCACCAAAGTGATACATTCATAGACGTCACCACCTAGCTAGTCCTATAGACCTGTGATCGATACACTCATTGATCACTAGTCTAGTCCACGGTGTAGGTGGTGAATGATGTCAGAGGTAAGGATATTATCAGAATGATAAATAAACATCTAAGCACAGCACTGGCTAGGATGTGCCTAGCAGCGGAACCAGTCTCTCTCCTCAGAAAATCTTACTCACCAGCATAGTCGAAGTTACCAGTCACCCCTCCTCCTATGTCACCTCCACTTATGTATATCAATCCCCATGTATAATTGATATAAGAATAAAACTTGGGCACTGTGGTAGAGTGTAATTCCATTCTGGGTAAATTTTATTTTGATTAAATCTCACAGTGTTACACAGTAATGTTTACTGATGACGTTTCGAGCACAATTTATTGCTCATAACCATATCAAGGTAATCACACGACTTTCTAAATTCATTTATATAGTTCCATTGTTTTTCACTTGATTTGATTGGTAGTATTATTTTCCATATTTCAGGTATGAGTGATGATTCATTCCTATTGCATGTGTTGGGTGTAGATTCGATGAACAAGGATTCAGTAATCCACCAGTCTCTATCTCCACCTACCTAGATTACTTTTTAGAATTTCAACCCACTCCCACCCTACTGTGTGGTTATGTGTCAATGCATGCATTGCAATTGCTGAGCTTTCTTCTAAATTACTTATCTTCTCTGGGTCAACCATTCTTACCTTAGCTAAATTCTTATGTTCTGACAATCTGACTACCCCTGACCTACTAGTTTGACTTATGTAGTTGACCTTGCTCACAGTCATTGCAGGGTATTTTGTAAATTACATTATTTTGTCTAATTGGGTTCACTGAGTCCTTCAACCTACAGAGCTTGTCTCTGAGTGAGTTTGTAGGTTTGAATGCCACTACCCTATTTCCTGCATTATTGAGAATCCTACGTAGGGTCTCAGATGTCCCCTCTTTATATGGTATAACTGTAGATGACTTATATTCTCTCTTATTTATGTTCTTATTACTAGTTTCACAATTATTTTTATTTTTATTTTGGCCTTTATCAATCTTCCTAATGAATTTTAAAGGATAGTTATTTAATACCAACGCCTCTTCTATCTGTTTTATTTCATCATTTAGGTCTTTTTTTGTGCTACTTAGTGCCATTGCTCGGTTTGTAAAACACTTAACTAAGCCTGCCTTAACAGTTAAAGGATGAGATGAATTAAAGTCTAAATATCTATTAGAATGCGTTGGTTTTCTATAATCACTAGTGTGTAGTTTGCCTTCTTCTATTCGTTTTATTTTACATTCTAACATAGCTAATTCTCCTTTTTCATTTTCGGCTTCAAATGTGAATTTTATTCCCTCCACAACGGAATTATATAAATGAATTTAGGAAGTCGTGTGATTACCTTGATATGATTATGAGCAAAAATTTGTGCTCGAAACGTGGTCATCAGTAAATATTACTGTATAACACTGTGAGACTCTATCAAAATAAAATTTACCCATAATGGAATCTCCATGTATACTTGGAAGCAGATATATTAGGGAAACAGAAAGTAGGATCTTTGCCAGATACTTTGAAAAGGTTCCAGAGAGTCACAATAACAATGAAGATCACTAAACCAAATAACGTTTGTAGTATATATACCCTGGTATCAAAACAAAACTTAACAAGGAAGGTTTATTGTGATGATGAATTGTTTTTAAATGCATGAATGTGGTTTAAACTTACCAGTTGCCAGCAAGGGCTTCCATAAAACTTAGGATATTCCCCAAACACGTTTTAAGGGTGGATAGATTTAAAAGACGTCTAAACATCAATTTCGTCCTATCTCTATAATGTTTTTCGGAATAGAGGAGTCAGGTCGTCTGTTCTCACCATTAATGGGTTCCGAGGACATTTAAGAATATTCTCTGGAGATCTCTGCTGTTACTTGCAGATATCGATGAGTCCTCCCTATGTGTGTGTTTGACCACGACTACATTCAAATTGGTAAATACAGTGGGATATGACATCACTTTTCGCAGGTTCTAAAAGCTCAGATGGATATATTCGCTTCACATTCTCAATTATTCTGATCTGAACTGCTTAAAAAGTTTTTTAATCACAACGTTCATCTGTTGTCGAGTCACCAAGCTGCTATGATCACCCATGCATAGGGCAGCTTGATATATACGTCTTTCTTAGTGGCGAGTTAGACAGTGGGTCTTAGTGTCCCACTGACCACTTTATATCTACTGATGAACTTCTTTGGATAATTATTACCAAACCAGAAGTACCCTAATGAGGCCTCTTTTTAAATGTTAATAACGCGGTTCGTGTCTGTGTACAAAATAAACATCAAGTGACCATAGCTGAAGAGTTTCAAATGGGGCGAAATCCCCTTCCTCCAAGTAAACAAATAACTACAAAGACTCAGAAAAATTGAAAGAAGATCATAGACCATTATAAACAGACACCGTAGTTGATATAAGAATAGAACTTGGGTACTGTGCAGAGTCACGCAATGGATCGAAACAGTCACCTTTATAAAACGCAATAAAAACAGTTGCAGGAAAAATTTCGTCACAGAATTTCTGTTCATCGAATCTACAACTAATAAGTACAATAAGAATGACTCAACGCTAATACCAAAGCTATGGCAAATATTGCTACTAATAAAAACAAATAATAGAATTACATAAGCAGAACTTCAAAATCAGCTAAGTGTCATGCTATGATTATGAACAATAAATAGAAATATCATCAGTAAATAATACTCAATGACTGCGTGTATTTCTATGAGATAAATTTTTTCTATAATGGACCTTAACTGTGATTGCTTTACGAAAACATTTCTAAGCTACTTGTAATGTTTTGTAGTAGTATACAAAAATATGATGAATTTATTTATCATTCTGAATTATTGCGTGATCAACTGACTATCAGAATTGAAATTTGTTTGTTCTGTCACGCACACATGCACACACAGAAAGAAAGAAATTCATCATTACATGTATGCAGCGACACACTGGTACACTCACGTACATTGAATATGCATCTTTATTCCTTATCTCATTTAACGTAAAACGTAAATGATTTGATTTGATTCATACTTTTTGATAAATAGCCATAATAAAAAGTAAGAAAAATATGAAATTTAATAAACAGATCTTTTGAAATAAACAATTTATTGATTAAATAAATAGTCACATGATCACCGGACATACTGATTGGTTCCTGAATAAAGTTGTAGTATGTAATATATATTTGAAATTTTCGATTGAACAGTAACTAGTGTAATCTGTCTAGTCCTTTGTTTATTGTAGACTGAATTCTATCAGTCAGGTTCACAATGGAGCCACAGTGCTAGGTGGATCGCCATCACGGGAAATGTGAATTGTTGATATTAGATGGTTGGAGGCGTTCGTCAAACTTGACTGAAACAATTCAGTCAGCACCAAAGATAGAACTAGATACATCACACTAGTTACTACTGTCCAATCAAAGAATCCAATACAGTCCTACATGAGGTCAGTCGTGAGCCAGCCTGAATAGCTCAGTGGTAACGTGTCTATCTGCAGCAACGGGTGACGCGGGTTCGAATCTCATAAGGGACATGAGTTCCTTCAAGGTTGCAGATATACCTTGCCGGCTGACTGGTGAGTGCCAACTAAGACGAAACCTGAGTCAGGCAACACTTCCTGTCGATCGCCCTCAACTATCTGAAACCAATATTTGGAATTTGTTTGGTTGATAGTATATCAGTAGACAAAAAGATTATTAACAATAAAAATAATGATAATAATTTGCATTATTCCAAAACAGTACTTGTGATACAGTGTAGGATTCTCAGCATTTGGTAAAACATTGAATCTAATTTACTTGACAACAGCAAGGCCAAAAATAAAAGAATAATGTTACAAGATTGATAACACCACCTGGTTTGGAATTTGGAATGACAATAAAGTCAAAAACGTACGAAAAGTGTAAAATAATGATGGTAATAATACTAATAGTTAAAATTGTTATTATTATGATTGTTTCCTTTAGTTCCTAAAGGAACATAGGGCTTCAGCTGCACATGTCCATTGCGCTCGGTTCTCTGACAAAGTTTTCACCTGGCTCTACACGTCTGCCCACATGTTTTCATCTCCTCTTCGCATCACTTCCTCCATATTACCCTAGCACCGATGACAAACTCGCACTTCCCATTCGCGTTTCACCCGAGTGGTGGTCTGGCGTGTGACGTCACTTGATGGTATGTTTTCTCAGAGTATGGCCAATCCATCTCCATTTCTCACTGCTTATTTGTTGCACAATCGGTTCCTGCTGCCTTGGTTGGTTCGCTCATTGTCAGAGATCCCTCCCTGTTGCTGATCTTTTATGGTTGGCCATCTGAACTTGAGTAGTATTGAGCGAAGACAGCTGTTGATGAAGGTGTGTAGTATGTTCGAAGTGCCCTTCGTCACTTGGCACCAAGTCTCTGATCCGTATGGTAAGTAGTACTGACTTCACATTGGAGTTGAAAATCCGGGTCTTATTTTTCATGCTGACCAGTGCTG